GCCTGGGAACGCCTCGGGGTCCCCCCGGAGGAGCTGGAGGACGTGTCTGGGGTGAAGGAAGTCTGGGAGTCCCTGCTTAGACTGCTGCCCCCGCGACCCGGCCCCGGATAAGCGGATGAAAATGGATGGATAGAAGGCAGATTCACTGCTTTTGAAAGAAATCTCCAAACATATGAAACACAAATGTCGAACCTTCAATTTGACATATTAATCTTGTGTCTTATAGCCCTTTCAACTAACAAAACCCACATCTTTGGATTTGAATAATGGCGTCACTTTGGACTTTGTGTGTGGTAGCTTTTGTTTCATGTGGATAGGCCCAGTAATGTGGATAGGCCCAGTAATTACACCATTATATGAATCATAAACCAGTACAAATCTGAAGTCTGAAACAGCAAATTCCATCTTTGATTTATGATCTGACCTCAGCTCAGTTGTGTGTTATGTGTTCCATGAATATGAACACAACCTCTAAGAAAAATACACATATTTCGGTCATGTTTTGGCCAATAAATAAATAACATAATTCAAAACTGTCATGAGATATTTCCCAAATCTGTTGAGCGTCAGCAATATATGTGACCTCAATATTGCAAAAGTACTTGGTGAGATTACACACAGTCCACTGGAACTCAAAACTTTTTAGGAAATTTCTCTGGAATATGATCAGGAAGTTCTTGGCTGTGGAGTTTTGAGGTCAGCTGCAGAGGAACTTGGCACAGGTTTAATCATTTTTCCCAAAGTGCAGAAATAGGGTGAAGGTCATGGCTCTGTGTGGACCACTCCAATCCAACGGCAAACTGAGAAGGACATTTGGAACGGCAATATTTGTGGAAGCACGAATATGATAAATCCCAACCCTATTTCCTACACTAGATCATATAAAGAGCGGATGGTTATTTGCATTTCTAACAGTTAGTATTTCTTAATTTCTTTTTCAGTAAGTTATAAATAATAAATAGAGTTGAAAATAGAGTTTATGTGATATTCAAACTAATTATTATATCATTATAGTCATTTCATATTTGCACAGAAATGGATCACTGCCTTTTACACTACCCTTTTTATACCTATTTCATTAACGTCTTTATTTTAAAGACCAAAGTATTTGAGCATGAAGTTAAAATAACAAATTTTCGGACTATAAAGCACACTTTAAATCCTTGAATTTTCTCAAAAATCAATGTATTAATTCTGATTCTGCTTACTGCCCTCGAACTGCTTTTATGTGGTACATGGCGCTCAAAAATCTGTCAAAATGTTTTAGTACGACTTTGGTAAGCTACGAAGCCGCACCATTTGATGGATTGTCAGAGCATTACAGCTACTGTAGTTAGGAGCCTCGCGGAGTAAAGGGCGAAGTAAAGGGCGAAGTAAAGGGCGAAGTAAAGGGCGAAGTATAGTCCTGCGCCGCCTCAACAAGCACTGCCACCATCACCTTGTCGCAGAATGAACACATATATTCCAGTGAGTTGTGTTCTTTGGTCTGACAGAAGCTGACTGCATCAGGACACAAGGAGTGAGCCGTTTTTTCACTGTTCATAGTTTATGCAAATTACCCATGTGGCTTTAAGTTTTGTTTCTGTGAAAGGTAAATAAATGTTCACAAAACTGCATTAAATACATTATTATTCAATGTATATTTGAGTCCTCCTTGTAAAAAAACAAATTAAAATTATCCACCCACATCTACATTCATAATACACATTCACCAAGACATGGAGGCAACGCCGGGCAAAGGATCGTGGACGCCTGGGCTAAGGCATCAGGCTCAAGTGTCGTCCGTTGGTTTCGCTCAATACGCCTTATAATCCAGTGCACCTTATGTATGAAAATAGACGAGAGAATTCAACATTATTGATATTGCACCTTATAATCCAGCAAGCCTTATAGTCTGAAAAATATGGTACATCCACTGTGTACTGTTTGCATCTAATTGTGAAGTGTTTTAAGTCAAGTGATAATCAGGAAGTGTGCAATTAGCATTATCATGCTAGTTTTACAAGCATGCTAGCTTTATGGTAATGACAAATCTCTGCTCTGGTCATGAGAGTTGTGAAACACTCTTATAAACTCATCATGGTGAATAATTAGGATACTCTGAATGTAAACAGCAAGTGAGGATAACTTGGGACGACTGTAAACCATTTAAAATTAATTAGTTATGTTTTTGAGACAGTAAAAGTCAGGTACATAACCTTTAAGTACAAGGTAAAAAATAAATAAATAAATAAAACACAAGTCTAAACTTAACTTTACTATGTTATTACAAGTTATGTCATGTTACACACTAAAATGTACACTAAAATAAAGTGGAACCAGACATTCATAACAACAGTATTTTTGGTGCCAATACTGATCTCTGTGGAATTCCATCAATAATCTTTTTTTTTAATCACTCTGTATTGTGGAACGACATCAGTAGCAGAGTGATCAGCATTCTAGCTCACTGCACAGAGGTCCAGGTTTAGATTTTGGACACACACATGCACAAAAACCAAAGCTAATTGTCCAGCTGGGGGCAAACCCTAAACGTATCCAAAAACTGGAGAAGGAGCGAAGAATGGGTCAAATAATGGACATTACTATATCACCTCGGTAGTCCTTGTCCAGGTTAAGTTCCAGGTTTGGTCCCAATTTTGATATCTGAACACAGCTTTTTTTTCTCCTAGGTGATTTGAATTCACTTTTTGGAACTTTCTACCATGTTATAACATTGTTCTCTCATAAAAAACATGCATGTCTGAGTAATCTAGCGGCCTCTCCCACTCACTATTCGAATCCTCTTTACATTAAGTCGTACGATCATATCTGAAGCTCATCCCGCAGGCCTATGTCGCCCATGCTCCCACAAGGGCAATCTTCCATAAATATGCAAAAGCATGATACAAAACAATACACTACGACTTCACAAACCTGACGTGATGTGCAGTAGTTTCAATTTCATTATAGCGCCATGAGAGGGGAGTGATTAAGCACGGAGAGAGCAAAGGAAGAGGGAACTCAGAACGTTAAAAACAAAAGTGAAACTTATTAAACATTTTAAGGTTATGTTCGGTGAATATTCGGTTTTCAAAACAATAAAAGGTAACATGGTGATCTAAATACGTTATGTGTTAGCAGTTAATACCCCATAGAATTATAATGGCCCCTCTTTACTACACAGATGTTCTATATTACACCTTTCAGTTCTTCTAACGTGAATTATTGTACAAATTTATGGTCTTTGCTACAAGCCAAAATATGTTTTCATTCACGCATAATTTGAACCAAAGTCCTTGAAATGATTTTGTCATTTTTAACCAGCTCAAGCCATCATTTTCCCTTTCCCTCTTGTCTAATAAAGCTTCCGGGGCCCCTCTCTCCCCTGAGCCTGCTCCTGTCTGCCCCTGTCTGCTCCTGGCACGGCTCCTAATGGGCACGCTCCCTCGGCTCGTTACCCAGGCGCATAAACCAGGCCTTTTATGTGGTGCCAACAAGCTCCGCTCCACGAGAATAGACAAATCAAGCGACTCCTCTCAACTAGAAAAGAGGATTCTCCCGAAATATACTGCGGAACTATGGGACCCCATGTATGGTTTTATGTGTAAGGCTATTGGTTAGTTTGGCAAATGTTGTGGCATATTTGCCGCCCCGGAAAGATAATGGGACAAAATGATTTTTTTTAAAATTAGATTCAAATGCTAATTGTTGCCTCTGTGTTAGTAAGTCAATAAAAATGGGGCCTAATTTGGTTATAGGATGACAGCATTTGAAAAGTGGATTAAAAATACATCTTCTAAATAAAAACAATAAAAAACAGTTAATTGTTGTCATTACATGTGCAACCAGACATTCTTAAAGGGACAGTTTGGAATTTTGGATATATTTCCTAGTGAGCCAGAGTGTTGGAGACGTGTGGAGACACTTTTTAAAATATTCCATCCAGTCCTTGTATTTGCAGAGGTCGCTGGTGCTAGGCTAGTGCATGTCAATGGCCATAGTTAGCCTGGCACTAAAAACACTCACTACCCACTCCACAAAACACCCGAAGCAAATCTATAATTACATCAGACTGTCGATGTGAATGTCTGTGTTAGTAGAATGATTTTAGAAGTAAAACTATCTTGCATTTGAACAATTTATGTCTGAGCAGCAGCGAGTTGTACTTCCTGATTGAAAGCTTGGCAGCGGCGGACTGATATATGAGAAAATAGTCCCTCAACATCCGACAATTCATGCAGTGCAAGGTTAGTTTTATTTAAAACATTATGCTATCAACAAAGAAATTTACATCGACAGTCTGGTGTAATAATAGATTTGCTTCTGGTGTTTTGTGGAGTGGGTAAGACTGTTTTTAGTGGCAGGCTAACTATGGCCATTGACATGCACTAGCCTAGCACCAGCGACCTCTGCAAATACAAGGACTGGATGGAATTTTTCAAAAAGTGTCTCCACACGTCACTAACACTCTGGCTCACTAGAAATGAGGTCCTATGTCCAAAATTCCGAACTGTCCCTTTAAATTAAATAAATAATTACATACAGTTTTCATTTACATAACAATAATTTTGGTCCCAGTATCGATCCCTGTGGTATTCTATAGGTAGTTTTAGAAAATCAGTCAGTAAATCTAGCTGAAGAACTGAAGGAGGGGCCTCATTCCTGGACCCTGCTGCACTGATACTAGTCTATGTCTAGTTGTTATATGTTTAGTCCCAGTTAAGTGAAAAGATGAATCAAACACTTCCTCTTAACTACAAAAGAGGATTCTCCCAAAATATACTGTGGAAATATGTGAGCTGGCATATTGTTTTATGAGTAAGGATATTGGAGGGTTAGTTTGGCAAATGTTGTGGCAGAAAGATCATTAGACAAAATGTTTTTAAATGAGATTCATATGATAATTGTTGCCTCTGTGTTAGTAAGTCAGTAGAAATGGTGCATAAATTGATTATAGGATGACAGCAGTGTAAAAGTGGACAACAACGAAATGAAAAATCCATTAAGTAAATACAGACCTGATTCCTTTGATTTGTGCGATGCTGTGGTGGGAGATCCGTGATAGAGCAGAGATGACCTGCAAGGCAAAAAAAAAAGATGGTAACAGTTAGATAAATATGCAATTGAACAGTTACAGTTAGAACTTGAAAAACACAATACTGTCAAATTTAGAGCAACCATTTCCAAAGTTGAGAATCCAACATCCAAATAATTCGCAAGCCAAAAGAAATACCAAAAATAAAATAACGTTTCATATTTCTGGATAGCTTTTTTCCAACTTCAAGACACTGAAATCGATCACCTGACCTCATGGCTCTACTAATGATTCTTTAAGTCAAGAGCGGGACTTGAAACTGCCAACGCATAAATACTAAAACCAACTAAGCTACTGTCATCCCCATGGTTCAAACTGCTTTCCATTTTAATCAAAACATTATCATCAGTCATCTTTAATTTGGTGGTTCATTTTGTGGTTTTCCTAAATCTGTTTTAAGAATTAGCAAAAACCTATTACGTATAAAACAAAATGTAATTGTCCAGTATTCCTCCTGTGATAGTCCAGTCTGTTTAAGGAAATCACTGAAAAGTAATGTATTCAGTGAATCCAATGTGTGATGAATCCGTGTATCATTCGTTCATTTGTTTTCATAATAAAACCAAAAATAAGAAAATGAAAAAACAACTACTTTATTCATTATTTGTCTTCAAAACCAAAATGAAAAAGCAGATAATGATTAATTTTTTTCAGTTTTTGATTTTGTGTTTAAACTAAAAATGGAAAAAACTGATAACATTTCCGTGACAATGCCAGACTGAGCCAGGAGGAACCAGGACTGAACCAGGACTGAACCAGGACCGAATCAGAACTGAACCAGAGCAGAAGCAGGACTAAACAAGGACTGAGAGTCGGTACAGACCCGGAGGTACGCCCGCGTAGAATATCAGGTGATTAGGACTGAGACCAGGACCAGACCGGAACCACACTGGTTACTGAGACTGGAGCTGAGACCAAGACTGAGAACCAGGATCAGAACTGGGACTCAGACCGGGACCAAAGCAGAACTGAAACCAGAACTGAGACCGGGACTGAGACCGGGACTGAGACCGGGACTGAGACCAGGATTGGTCCCGGAATCATTATCCGTGATCCGTTTTTTTTTTTTTTTTTTTTTTGGTTTTGGAGACAAATAATGAAGAAAATAGTTCTTTTTGGATTTATTTTGGTTCGAGCCCTCCTATAGCTAATCCAAACTGCCATTGTGTCCTTGGACAAGACACTTCACCGTGCTTTCAGAGTGCACCCTTCTAAATGGGTAAGAGCTTTGTGAGGATCTACTCTAAAAAATGTTCCATAGACTTGGGTTGGCAAGAATAAAAACAAATTCTTGACTAAACCTTACAAAGAATTTGAGTTATGAAGACCACAAATTGCTGTCAAAAAATATTACTGATGTTTTAAATGCCTATCAAGAGTAGAATATTTTATGATACACACAATAATTTCCCATTATAATCCAATTTCAATGAGCGAAAAACATCTTTATAACATAATTTTATTTTACAATCCTTCCTCCTCTCCACCAAAACCATCCCCATAACTCTCTCATTTAACACATTTACGTCTGTGTAGATTTACCAGCTCCAATTCATCACAGCACACCGCTGTGCCGCAGAAGCTGTACAGATGGCGCGCTTGTCCCACACACACGGCGACAGGAGCGCACCCGTCGGCCCGGCGCACCCGCCCAGCCCAGCCCAGCGCCCCTAAACCATCCTGGCACAGCTCATTACCCTCTCAAAGATGGATCTGGATGCGCGCACCATGACACAGCCAGATGTCCCCACTAAACTGTTATGTCAATGTGTCTCCTGGCAATGATGTCGTCAAGTAGCGTTTAGCGTACAGGAGGAGGGAATGCAGAGTTTCAACGGATTTTATATACAATTGTTAGTTTTATTGTGCTTATAAATCAGGGGTTCTTCAACTTTTAGTCAGAGTTATGTTCAATTTAAGGGATATATTGGCTTATCCGAATGCTAAAATTAGATCAGTGTCTGTATGAATCACCGCATTCCAAATAAGTGAGCGTGGGCGTGATTCGGCTCCATCGACACTGGCTCCAATTTACTTTGTACTGTTAAAAATGTCGCCCATCTCTCTGTAATTGCTGCTGTCAGGTTAGTCATTTTGGTCTTAAAATGTTGGTTCTAACAACACAATCTTGAGATTTTTATTTTGCAATTTTTGTCTGTAAATCAAAAAAAAAAAAAAAAAAAAAAAAAAACAGACCAATGAAACATTTACCAACAAGTTTGATTGACAGCATTGCTAAGCACTTTCCCCCTGCCAAAACAGCAGACTGGGAAGGCTGGGGGAGGGCGGAGAAAGGCGGGAAAGGGCATTACCGTTAAAACCTTCACTTCTGATTGCCTCTTCAGTTGCCAGGATTCTCAGTCCAGTTTTTTAAATGACTTAAACTTAGATAAAATTTATTAATCCATAACTTGAGGCAGGGACACTCCACCCACCCGGAGAGGGTAACCCACCTTTTTCTGGGGTGGATCGGTGCAGCGTCGGCAGTGATACGGTCGCTGTATTGGACAGTTGTGGTATAGAGGGAGCTGAGCCTAAAGACAAAGCTCTCAATTTACCATCAATGTACGCTCCTCCCTCACCCATGGTCATGAGCTTTGGGAAATGGAAGGAAGAGATTGCGGATACAAGTGACCGAAATGAGTTTCCTCCACAGAGTGGCTCTCCCTTAGAGATAGGGTGAGCAGCTCAGTCACATGGGAGGAGGCCTCTGCTCCTTCATGTAGAGAGGAGCAGCTGAGTCATCTGTTCCAGATGCCTCCTGGGCTCCTCGCTCGGGACGTGTTCCGGGCATGTCTCACTGAAAGGAGGCCGCAAGGAAGACCCACGACACACTGGAGGGACTATGTCTCTTGGCTGGCCTGGGAATGTCTTGGGGCCCCCCAGAGGAGTTGGAGGAAGTGTCCAGGGTGAAGGAAGTCTGGGAGTGCCTGCTTAGACTGCTGCCAACCCGGCCCCAGATGAGCAGAGGGAAATGGATAGATAGATATTGCATCAATATCTACTATATCCAGGACTAACTTCAATCTTTGACTACACTAGGATTTTAAAACCATATTATAGAGATGGATTTTCTAACTCATACTTGGTCGCACATGCTATAGTAGTTGATGGACAAAGATGAATTCATACTGAACACAGCACAGTCATGGAGGGCCTCACAGCAAGAAGGTTCGAAGTTTGACTGCTGTAATACTATGGATAATAACAACACAAAACCTTCAGATTAGTTAGTAAATTCTGGGAAGATCATAGTTGAAATTTGATTCATGTAATCCCAAATCACAAATCCTTCTTCACACCACAGCAGCAGAACCACCAGCTGCCCCCTCTCTTCCTCTTCACCATCTCCAATTACCCCATGAAGTAACCAGCAGCATCTCATTCATTTAACTTTGTCTCATAGTTGTTGGGATGAGGATACTTTAGAACCTATAAGAGCCATTGACCAAAACCTCCAGCCGCTCGGAGCAGGTGCCTCCTTCATCAGGAGAGCTCAGACAGAGTGGTATTATCCAGAGAGCTCTTTACACAGCCCATGCAGACAATTCAATAGAGTCTGGACACTTCACAGTACTATCGCCAAATTGAAACAGGTACTTACAAATTCTACTCTTCTTTTTCAGACATTTTAAAGTGTCAAATATAATACAAATGCGTTGAATGGGTTTGTGAATGGACTGGTGTGGGGAGGTAAGGGTCAACGATGAGCCTTGACCCGCAGAGAATAGTTAGCTGACTGTTGGCTCACCCAGAATGCTCAGGTTCTGCTCTATCACAGATATTTTGCAATATTCATCTAAAATTACAAGTCCACTGAGTTCCACATTCGAAAACCGCAGCCCCCACATTGCACAGCTTCAAACTGTGATCATAAGCCCCAAAGCAAACAACAGAGCTAGTGATATTAACCCCCCAACAACCTGTTTACTCGTCATCGTAAACCAGCACCGTCATTTCTAATACGTCTGAGTAACACGCGCAATAAAAACAGCCGTAAAAATAACACGACGCAATGAAGTCCCATAATAAAGCTTGAAAAATAATAGCCTCCATTAAAATGCTAAACAAATGAATCAGATCTAACAAGCCCCAGGAAGTAGAACGCCGTGAAATACAATTATACAAAGTCCCCATGGCGGAGCGGAGGCTGTCTGTGGAATCCTTATGCGGCGGCGGTTACGTTAAAGCGCGGTATAAATCTGTAGTGTGGCTGGCGTTTATAGCCTAAGTGTGGACGGGCAAACAGGTCACTCATTAGCATGGATCTGTGCCGCGGGGAAGCACGTACAGGCTGCAATTTACTCATTCTTTTTTCCTTTTTTTTTCATGATACAGGGTTGTGACGTAAAAAAAATAATAATAATGAAAAAAAACCTTTGCAATATTACAGAGTCTCTACTAGATTTTCTTCCATGTACTCGAGAAAAATTAGAAGTCTGTGTAATCACAAAGACAGTGAGGACACGGGACAAACTGCTCTCCATCGTGGACACACCTGCTCACCAACTGCACCAGACTATAGAGACACAGAGGAGATAATACTCCCTACAACTGTAAAACAACTCACCCACTGCCCCAGACTGCAGACAGACAGAGGAGCTCATTCTCCAACAGGCTCCTACAGCTCCACTCAAACAGTGATGTATACAGGACTACATTTGTACTATAATACTCCCTACAACTGTACAACTCACTGTTATGTAATAGATAATACTCCCTACAACTGTACAATTCACCCTTATGTAAAAAAATAATACTCCCTACAGCTGTACAACAACTCATGCTTATGCTACAGATAATACTCCCTACAACTGTACAACTCACTGTTATGTAATAGATAATACTCCCTACAACTGTACAACAATTCACTCTTATGTCATAAATAATAATCCCTACAAGTGTTCAGCAACTCACCCTTATGTAACAGATAATACTCCCTACAGCTGTACAACAACTCACCCTTAGGCTACAGATAATAC